CTTTTTTCTAACACAGTCTGAATGCAGGTGTCTGGCTGCACTGTGTTGTGGTCCTCTGAGCACGTCTCCCAAATGTGGCTCTTCGTGGTGTGGGTATTTTGAACTACAGATACATAAGCAATGTGGCAGGAAACCTGGGCATCCTGGGAGTCAGAGCTTAAGCCAGCTCCTGTACACAGTCTTTATGTCTTGAGGCTGATGTACCCTCAATGCATGTGAATCTTCTTGCTTTGCACATGCTGTAATCCATATAATTTCTTAATATGCTATCATATGAAGACAATGTGATAGCAATGCAGACCACTCAGGCTGTTCCAGGATTCAGACCATTATGCTGATGCTATATTATAAGCACACAAAATGGTCAGACATTGGAATAGGCTGGCCCAGGGAGGTGGGTGAGTCACCATCCCTGGAGGTGCTTAAAAAACATGTAGATGTGGCACTTCAGGATATGGTTTAGTAGGAATGGTGGTGTTGGATGGATGGTTGGACTTGATGATCTTAGAGGTCTTTTCTAACCTATGATCGTATGAAAATATAGCTCCTAGAGTAAAGGCTTCCCTCTGCAGAAAGGGGATGTGCTGGAAAACCTTTGGGCTTAAAACAGGAGGAAAATTGTGGTATGGAGCACTGAGATCACTGCCAGGCTGGACATAGGCCAAAGAAGCTTTGTCATGGGATGCCATCCAGAGGAACCTGGACCAGCTTGAGAAGTGGGCCCTTGTGAACCTCATGAGGTTCAACAAGGCCAAGTGCCAGGTCCTGCACCTGGGTCAGGGCAACTCCCACTGTCAGTACAAGCTGGGGGATGAAGGGATTGAGAGAAGCCCTGGGGAGACGGACTTGGGGGTACTGGTGGATGAAAAGCTGGACATGGGCTGACAATGTGCACTCACAGCCCAGAAGGCCAACTGTATCCTGGGCTGCATAAAAAGAAGTGTGGCCAGCAGGTCGAGGGAGGGGATTCTGTCCCTCTGCTCCGCTCTAGTGAGATCCCACCTGGAGTCCTGTGTCCAGCTCTGGAACCTCCAGCATGGGGAAGACATGGAGCTGTTGGAGCAGCTCCAGAGGAGGGCCACAGAAACAATCCGAGGGCTGGAGCACCTCTCCTCTGAGGAAAGGCTGAGAGAGCTGGGGCTGTTCAGCATGGAGAAGAGAAGGCTGTGGGGAGACCTTACTGCAGCCTTTCAGTACTTAAAGGGGGCTTATAAGAAAGATGGGGACAAAGTATTTAGTAGGACCTGTTGCAATAGGACAAGGGGTAATGGCTTTAAACTACAAGAGGGTAGATTTAGGTAAGATATAAGGAAGAAATTTTTTATTATGAGGATGGTGAAACACTGGAATAGATTGCCCAGAGAGGTAGGTGGTTGATGCCCCATTCCTGGAAACATTCAAGGCCAGGTTGGATGGGGCTCTGAGCAACCTGAGCTAGAGGAATATGTCCCTGCTCACTGCAAGGGGGTTGGGCTAGATGACCTTTAAAGGTCCCTTCCAACCCAAACTATTCTATGATTATTTCAGTGTATGCCAGAAAATGACCCAGTCACTGGCATCAAGAGCATCAGGGAAGTACAAGCTAGACATAAAGACTGATTTTATGGATGTTTCAGTGGGCCATTAAATCAATCCATCAAACTGTCCTCCTTTTTGCTAGGACTAAGCATGAGTCTAATGTCGCACGCTGGACAACTGTCAGGTGTAATTGTCTACAGATGAGAGACATCTATGCAGCATAAACTGGAGGAGAAGTAAATAGCATAAGGACTCTTGATCAATTTTCTTCATTTTCCATATTCAGGACTCCAGCTATCTAGTCAGCCACCAGAATGCAAGTGGTCTCACATGCATAATGAAACAGTCCATGATGGTGGCAAAAGTACCTCAGATGATAGAGGCCAGATGACTGTCCTGATAAGCCCTGCACAGATGTATAGCTCATCTGCTAAAATCTGCTCTGCTCTGTCCAATTGTCCCAATCTTACATCATAACAAGTTAAATTTTACTACAAAATTGCTGTCAGTATCTGTCTTCCAACCTGCCCTACGTGTGTCAAAATGCTGCACTTTATCTTTTGATGCTTTATTCAGCTTATTCCTTACAGGTGCTATGGAAAATAGTTCTGCTGCAACAGATTCATACCTTAATTTGTAGCATTTTGCGGGTGCCCTGCTCTAAATTTGAAACACTATAAAATGTCCCTGGGCAGTTCATGCTGCTCAGGATTCCTCGTACCTTCATCAGGATCAGCGAAGCACTGTACTGACAGGCTTTGAATCTCAGCTATAATAAGCCAGCAATGTCACTGCGTCAGTCAGACAATGGTGAGGTGGGGTCCTGCACCGTTTTGATTATTCATTATGCTGCATATTCAGTTCCCTGAATTTACTAACTAAATACTCTGCAAAATGTCATCAAGGCAAATTGCTAAAGGATGCCCTGGTCTAATGAGTCCCCTTCCAGATGAGGGAAGGTAGAGTATGGCAGCAATTCATCCCCCCATACTGTTCTCTCTGGGGCTGGAGCAAGCTCTGCAGCTCTCAGGGCCATCTCCTCTGCCACAAGCCTCCGAGCGTGTTCCCCCCAAATCCAGATCCGACAGAGAGAGCAAGATTCGCTGCTGACAGCATGACTTCAACTGGACAAAACTTGTTCCAGCTCATCAGTTTTCTGAGTGTATCAGCTTTCACTTTGCTGATAAAAAGTCAACAAAAGGATTATTCTGTAAAAAACCAGGGATTTTATTGGATGTCTGTGGGTGTGAAAATTCTTGTTTCAAAAACTATGCACATCTTTGATAAGGGTATTTGGTGATTGGCTTGCCTGTTGAGACAGCCTGTTTTAAGCCCATCAGGGTTGTGGGGCATCAATGTCAAGCTGTTGTAACAATGTTAACCAGAAAGGAGAAAAGATCATTGTCTTTATTCATCATCTGTAATTATTCTAATCTCTTGATATGAATAGTGTAACATCACTGGAGTAGGATTTTTGTTACAAGATATATACCAAAGCTTGAAAGTACATTCCTGAGCTCTAGATTAATTGGGGGAAAGGGGTACAGGGTTTATATCATCTGAAGAGTGCTTAGTCTTTTTCTTATCATTTACCCAGCTATTTTTTTTCACCAGTATCCTGTGATCGGGTTGAAGTACTTCTCTCTATGTCTATTCAAATAAGAACTGCCTGTTTTAATTTTGCTTAGTCTTGGCTAGAGCTGTTTGCTGTCTAGTGAAGAAATATGGTTTCTCCTTTCTCTCTGTTGGGAATTGCTGCTCACTGTGTATTTTCACCATCAGCTAGACATCAAGATGGGTTGCCTCTGTGTTGCCTTGGTTTACAGAGAAAAATACAATCAGCAGAAGGAGTATAACTGGGTACGTTCATTCTGTTTTTTTGTCAAATATGACAGATACAAATGAAAGAAATTCCTAGAAAACAGAGGTGGAAAATTTTTTAGCATGGTGCAATCCTGCACGACTGGAAGCAAATTTGAAAAGCCTGGGTAAAGGGAAAAATATTGAGCAGAGCTTGGGCACAGGACATCCTTCCTGCATGCTGGAAATTAATGACTTCAGAACCTGCTCCCAGCTGTAGCATGTGTGTGCTTGTGTGATGGCTACATGCATTAAATGAAATAAAATCAGAAGTCAGTAAACCTCAGTGATTTTCTGTCACACAGAATATAAAATGATAACTGTTTCCTCCTTAATAATAGAGCGACTACAAATACTTTTCTATGTTGTCTCCCATGACAAGATTTTCTCGTAGGGGTGGTCTGCTACTTCCCCGCAGTCTTAAGTATTTTATATATATATAGACATACTGTATTATTATATATATAGTATTATTATCATCATTATTCATTGTTCATTGTTCATTGTTCATTATTCATTATTCTTCTTTATTTTTTTCATATTGTTGATACTGTCTTTCCCACGTGTCAGCTCAGAGAGCCTTAGGACAGCAAATCAGTCTATCCAGCACACAGAAAGCATAGGACTAATTACTCCACGGCCCTGCCCGAGGAGGGATGTGCAGACCCACGGCGTGGGGCAGTGCTGAGCCTCCCCACTTCCCACCAGTGGACAGACCCCAGAGAGAGCAGCCCCTGGCGAGCCCCATGGGTTGTGGTGTAGCCTGTCTGGGCAGCGCTGGGCCTGCCTGCCCCAGCGTTTGGGGTGCACTGGGCGATGCCATGAGGTGCCCCAGGGCATGGGTGGCTGCTGCGCATGCTGCTGGTGCATTTTGCCAAATGACACAGATCCTGCATGGGAAGTGCCCCCCGAAACCTGAGGTAAAACACCCAAGGGATGTGCCCAGCCCAGCTAGTGACAGCTCCCCATCCAGCCTGCAACAGGCGGGGGAGCAGAGGGGCGGGATGGTGGTACAGCTCTCACAGGGGAAACTCAGCATGCTGCGATTTAGAATCACATGCTGCAATTTAAAAAAAATATAATTGTAGGGATTTGCTGCCCTCTGGCAGGATTTTCTTACAGCTTTGATTCTCTGTGAACTGTGAGAGCAGTGTTCAGTGATCATACACCGGCACAGCAAGGTCTCTGCACTTCCCAGCTGGCTGTAGGCAAAGCAGAGCGAACAGCTGGGCACCACTGCTGTAGCCTCTCTGCAGCCCTCCTGGAAAGCCAGAAGTACATGCTGATCCCAGGCAGGGGCTGGAGTAAGGGGCAGAACTGCTGGGCTGGCAAGAGCCCCCCATCCCTTCCCTCCATCCCTCTGTGAGAGATGGGGCAGAAAGCCTGACTCTCTAAAACTGGTCCTTTGTTCTGTTGGTTGGTTGTCTCCTCACAAGAGACAGCCCATCATCTTCCACCTTCGGCTGTAGTGAGAAAATTCACTGTGGTCTCTAATGCTGACGAGCCCCTAGTGGCTTTGCTGAGTTTGATTTCTTGGTATGGTACATGCTTTCTGACAGATACTCAGCAAATCAGGCTAATTTTCATTAACACCATTTTCCAAAAGGCCCATTAATGCCGCTATGGCACTTGTGGATATGCGGATAGTGGTTTTGAAAACCTGGGCCCCCTCTTCCCTGAATGCAAATCATTGTGAGTCTCATGGGGTGAGACTTCTCTGATGAAACATTGAGTTCTGCAGTGCCTACACTGTACTGCGCTGAACCTGTAGACTGCCTGCCTGGTCAGCAGGAGCCACAGGCACTACTTGGACACTTCAGAGCACTCTGATGTCTCAAACTGTCAGATGACTGCATCCTAAAATTATCCATGGCTTATTAAAAGTACCTAGGTCAGCTACCTTGCATGTTGATATTTTTGCTGCAGATACCTAAAGTTAGGTCATGATAGTCCTACCCTAAAATAGCAAAGAAATGGGAGAGTGGGGAGGTCCAGAAAAGTACCCCAGGTACACAGCTATGACTGATTGCTTTTCTGCTTTGAGATAAAGGAAGGATAACATAGATGCGCTATTCCCATTAGTAGACGTAACAATTTGGCTGCCCATAAGAAACCCCTAATCCTCACCTTAGCAGGTCACAATCCCAGGAGAGATAAACAGGCAAGGACCGAGGAAGAAGAACTACAGGTAGGACTCAAATACAAATCCATGATCATCCCTGATGGTAGATTGTATAGCTGCACAGGATTTCCCCAGGGTTTTGAATGCAGGGGGGAGCTTGAGATTGGAGGACGGGTAAGGCTCTCTCTCTCTTACATATAATATGAGTATGTAGATTTTGCTGTACATTTGATTTCTTTTCTGCTTACACACATAATCAGCAGGGACCTTGTGACTGGCGATTTTGCTTGAAGCAGTGGCCACAGGCACTAGCATCAAAGTCCACATTGCACAATGCAGTGCTGTGCAGAGCTATCAGAGCTGGTGTGCAAGGCACTAGCTCCAAGTTATAGTGAGCTGGGCCAATAAATAGCTCAAAGCAAGCTTTCATGGATCTGCTTTATTGCTGTCAGGGGTTTGAACTTGTATCCCTTTATGGTTCTGCATAATGACAATGAAATATGTGTGCTTATTTAGAGCTACTTGGGTTATCTCTGGCTGGCATTGTACTAGACAGGTTAGGGATGTTCATGAAGCTGTGAAGATGGTGATAAAAGCCAAGGCTTGATTTTATAGTTACTTTTGTTATCATTGAGAAAGCTTAAGAATAAGGGAATGATTCTTTATCAACCTTTCCAACTGCAACAGCCACTAAGACATCCTGGGGCCCACTGGAGTGATGGCAACATCCTCAGTATTTTCAGCAAGACCTAGATTGATGACACAAGCAACTGTGGTGACGCTGACTTCCACAGAGATACACTGATTTACTTCACCTAGGAATCTGCCCCCTTTCTTTGGGTGAAATTGTGCCCACTTTGTTTCTTCAGTGTTAGCATGGTAGAAAGCTTGGAAGTGGCAGATACCAATTCATATAGCTATATATGGAATAAGTACTAATGCCTCTTCTGTTATGTTCTACAGACAAACTGGGAGATCCACCTAATGTTGCCTCAAGTTACGAAAATACTGCCTGAAAGTGAGACAATGTAATGCTTCATTCACCTTTCAGCCCATGGCACGGCTGTGCATAGCACTCATCTGGACTTCCCTTGCTATGCAACCAGCCTGACCACGAGACTGGGAGACTAAGCCTTTCAGAGCCACCTGGAATGACAAACAGACTGTGCTCCCTGAGGTACGACATCGTACTGAACCTGGAAATGTTCCATATAATTGGAAGCCCATTAACTAAAGCAAGAGGGAAGAATGTGACCATATTTTATTTTAATAGGCTCAACTACTATTGTAGGTACACATTACAAAAAGTCCCTGTTACTGGTGGCCTACCCCAGAACTTCAGCTTGCAAACTCATCTGGAAAAAGCTGGCTGTGATGTTAACTATCACAACCCAGCTACGGACTTCAGTGAATTAGCTGTCACAGATTGGGAGTACTGGAGGCCTCAGTGGGCCTGAAACTGGGATGCAAAAGATGGCTACAGAAGAAAGTGCAAGAAGCTCAAAACCAAAATGGAAGGGAATATTTCAGCAAATGATGTCGCACACTTAAGCAGACTTTCCTTTGAAGAAAGCACAAAAGCTTTTATGAAGGAAACCATTGCATTAGGAATGAAAAGCAGACCGAAGTGTCTGTGGCGATACTGTTTATACCCTGCCTGTCACAGTTGCAATTTCTGTGATCAGAACTACCCTGGTTGCTGCCGAGAGAATGAAGTTTTGAGGAACAATGAACTTTCCTGGCTCTGGGATGGCAGCGCAGCCCTGTATCCTTCCATTGGCTTCAGGAAATCCCTTGGAAACAGTCAAAACACATTCCACTTTTCTCAGTTTAGGGTGAATGAATCCATAAGAATTTCCTCTATGACCCAAGATTAAGTTTTGCCTGTATTTGTGTATACTTGACTAGGTTATAGAGATGAACCTTTATTATTTCTCTCTGTGGTAAACTTTTGCTTGAACATTGTGGGCTGCATTTGCGCTTTAACCTTTCTTACAGATGGTGCATAAGGATGGAAAACCCCCTACTTGGGCCAGCTCTGCTGGTTCATGTTAATTATCCACATACTTTAAAGAGCTCTATGTTCTTAAGAAAAAATGCAGTCTCAAATACCTTTTTTTTTTTGTTTTAGTTCATCACTACGCAACACTCAAACATGCATTTAAGTGGATTGAAAGGATTTCAGCAATTTGATGTAGTACATAGGAGGTGATTAATACATTAATCCTCCCTGATGTACTTTCTGCTGCTCAGGTATGCAATCACCAACTAATCCTGAGATAGCTGCCCCTTATATAGAAGGGAAACTGAAGGCAGATGTGTTAGCAACTTGCTCAGTGTTATGTCAGCAAGGAAAATTGAAGCCAGCAGTCTTTCTGCATGCCTTCATCTCAAAAACATTTAGTTTAGTCCCACACCTACCTTGCAGCAGGCAAACGATGCACCAGAGCCGAGGAGTAATACTCACACCAGCTGAATGTACATACAAGTATTTTCAAGAGAAGTATCCTACCCTAGCCTTTCTTTATGTGATTCTGGAAATCCTCCCAGAAACTGGATGAAGATAATAGGTTTCCTGTGAAAAAGCAGCATAACCTGTCTGCCACAGCCCTGGCTTAGTTCTCCCCTGTAGACAGTGACTGCACTACCAGCAGGCCTTCAAATTCTGTGTTTCAGAGTTCAGTCAGTGAGCTCTATTCACTTTCTAAAGGCCACGTTCAGTCTTTCAGCCCAGGTACAGAGTCTGAAGCTGGCACCTTGCTTGCGAAGGAGCATTAGCTCCCTGTCCTATTAGGTCCCACTACTCCCCTAGCACTACCACCACCCATTGCACTTCCCAGTTAGGGGCTGCTCTTCTCTCCAGCTTGAAGGCAAATGCCTATTCTTCGGCACTAAAGGAGGTGTCGGCACCTGCTTTGGAGCTTATATCCAGCTTGCCCTTTCTTAGTTTTGCAAGGAGAGGATAGATGGACATCAATAACTGCTGAAGGCTGGTGTCCATCCCCTCTGCCATTTTATACCCAGTTTCCGCCTCTTTCCCCCCTTAGGCAAGCAATTCCTGTGAAGTTTTTCTACTTTGATTCTTGATGTGCTGTGGCCCTCAATCTCCCTTAAACCGATGATGATGTCTAGGGAGTCACTTGCATATCGATAGTCTTTCATCTTCAGTGCTTGTGGCATAGTAATTCACTTTTTGCTGATCCTTAATCACTGTTCTAATTAAGGATAAACATCCAAGCACCAAATACCTTTGCCTTAAAGCCTGCAATGTGAGGAAAAGGTACAGTGAAAGAATCTCTCTGAAACAAACATAGAAAGAGCACAAAACCTGAAACTGAAATTCTTAAGATTTGTGGTGTTGCATTTTCCCTTTCATTTAAGTTTGCACAATGCTAGCATTCTCCCTCCTATGGTGTGTGCCTATTTACAGTCACTTTTTCTAAGGTTTTTATAAGAAGCTGAGTGAGCTCCCAGGGCAAGCAGCAAGAACAATGCATGCCTTTGGAATCACAGCTTTCAAATTGGAGGGAGACAGGGAAAACAGCTCTGTGACTTAGCAAAATGGCTCTCTCCTTGCCGTTATCAGCAAGAACAGAACTGAGGGAATGCTTTGTGGAATCCTTACCTTAAAATTCCCACTTCAATGAAAAGATTTTAGTTGCTTCTAGTAACCGATGAGATATCATATAATTAAAATTAAATTTTGCATCGAAGTAAATTGTATTTTAAAGTGTTTGTTCACTTGCTTATTACCAACAACTCAGGCAGTAGCTAAATTTGCAACTCATGTTTAATAATCTTTGTACTCTCGAGAGAAAATCTTTAGCCACAACATAGTTCATAGGGACCAGAATGAAAAGAAAATGTAGTCCAAGAGACAGCCACACAACAAACCATTGGATTACTTTAGAAAGGCTGTGAAATGCTGCATTACCCTGACAGAGATATCTTTGCTCTTTTCACTGTAGCAGGATCCAATGAACATTATCAGAGAGAGTGCCCTGGGAGCTGCAGGCACTGTTATTTGTCCAGATATGAATTTAACTTCTTCAGTGGTAAGCCTGTGCCTGATTTAAATGCAACGTGCAAGATCCTCATTTTGTCCTATCAATAGACACTGTCTGACTGCACCAGTTCTGAGTACTCTGTACCAGCAGAGCTGATTGCTTAACCAGTCTTTGCTGTCCCCCAGTCAGGATGACCATGGAACATGGTCAGTTCTCCCTGGCTGAACAAGGTCTTGTGAGGCTCACAGGCAACCAGTGGTAGGGAAGGAAGCCAATGGCTAATACCAGGCCTTCTGGAAGACACTTCCTCACTATCATCCATTCCAGCTGCATAAAACACCAGGGGACCAGTTAAAGCCTGATTTGCACATCAGTCAGAATAGATTAGGTATACCAGTGTGCCCAGCAATTTGTCTGGTTATGGGAACTCTATTTGTGCCTGTGTGTGGGCAAATAAATGAAGCAGGCTGTTGAGATCAGATGGAGAGGCTTTGTATTACGTATATATATCAGACCTAGCCACATTAAAATCAAAGATTGATTTCTGAGGCTCCGTCATGTCTTGGAGATTTCAGACAGCCACACATCAAACTCTGTCATGAGCAAAAACTTCGTCCTTAAAGCTGTGTGAAATGGGTGTTCTGGGCTGCTTTTCTCCTGGCAGATAGCATAGAAAACCCAGCCAGTGTGAGAATGAATGGCTGAAAATAAGTCTTCAGTTGGCCTCAGCAAATTCAATTACTTCAGCCAATTTTTGTAAATATTCGGCTGCGGTGTCAGTCAGCATGAATGCGAATAAGAGGGTGAACTTCCTTCCAGCTTGGTCAAGCGACAAAGGCAAGGCCCTGGAGGATCAGCTCTGGACCCCCACACTTTTGCCACACAGCCATGCTGTCATCACCCACGTTTCTAGCATACATCATGGCTTCTTTATAGATCTACAGGCTGCGGTGTTTCCTGGGGAGTGAAAATTGCTAAAGCCCTTTGCATCTCCATTGGGTTATATTTTCTGTATAAAACTTCCTCATAATCCTTTAAATTAGTCAAAATTAAATTATCCTGAATTAATTCATTGATGTTACTTACATATTGCATATTTTTCAGAAAGGAAAATATGGAGTGGTTAGTTTGACATCAGCTACAATTTCTTTCCTATTGTTTACAGAGTAACTGCACAAAAGTGCAAAAATTCATTGATTCAGAATTAGGGCCCTACATTATTGGTGTCACAGCAGCAGCTGAGGTGTGCAGCAGGCATCTTTGTCAGGACAATGGATGATGTGTGTGAAGAACCTGAAGACCCTTGACATATCTGCATTTAAATCCTAAAAGCTTCCGGATAGACGCCTTGGAGGACCAAGGGTTTATTGTGAGAGCAGAAGCATCAAATGAAGATCCGGCAATACTGGCAGAGACATTTGTCTGCCACTGTTATCGGGGTTCTGAAGGAACTGACTGTGCGGGAGTTAAAGTTGCTAATGACCATCCAGAGAGCTTGCAGACTCTGTCCCACCCAGAAGATTTGCAGTGATCTGACTGCCCTCGGGAATCCCAGGCCCCGGAGGTAAGAGAGGAAGCCTACAGAGAGAATGACTTTCCCTTGGTCGAGGAGGACTGTGTGAGGGATCGCTTAAGTGATCTGGACGTCCACAAATCCATGGGCCCCAATGGAATGCACCCAC